CCATGGCTAGATTTACCATAACATATGATCATTTGGTAAAGAGGATGGTGTCGAAAAGAGACACCTCGAGCTTTATTTTTATGACGACGATCCGTCCCTCGAGCATCGGATGAGCAAGTGCCGTGAGCAATGCACCCAAAAAGACAGAGAAGTTATAGAGCAATTGGTTAGTATCTTTAATGGGAATCCCTACTCTCAGCAACTAAGGAGTATGGGACACGTTGAAAACCTCGAGGATTACCGGGTCGAGTTGAACCTTGACCAGTGGCTTGACCAGAGAACATATAACGTGCCATTGACATCAGAGGTGGCCATCGTCTGGGTTGAGGGGAGTGAGCGTCATGGCCAATTCGAGCATAGTGTTCTCCTACAAGGGAAGGATCGGTCTATACACAGCATCCGCTCATATAATGCATGCTACGACCCACTATCACACCCGGTGTTCTTTCCAATGGGTGAGCTCAGGTGGCACAACTGCATTCCAAAAGTGGGTGTGACTATGGCTCAAGTTGATCGAGCTCGAGCAATCCGCAAAAAATGTGCTGAGAATGGTGACGATGATGATGGAGGTAACTTGAACTCTTTTCAATAATGCAATATAAACTCTTTTCTGTTAACACATGATACTAATTCGAACAATGTCTCCCTGTAGAACCTGTTTCGAATACATGTGTCTTCGTGCGCGACTACTACTGCTACAAGTTCCAGATGCGGCCAGGGATATTTAATCCAATACTCTATGGCCGACGTCTTTTCCAGCAGTTCGTCGTCGACAACTATATCAAGATTGAGAGCTCACATTTAGACTATATGAGGAACAATCAGGATACTTTGAGGGCTGACCTATACCAAGGCCTGGTGGACAGCATGCATTCAGGTGAAGGATCTGCTGAGAATGTCGGAAGTTGTACTGTCCTGTCTTCGTCATTCATCGGAGGACCCCGTGATATGAGGCGTCGATACATGGATGCAATGGCTCTGGGTGCGAAAGTATGGTAAACCTGATATCTTCCTCACAATGATGTGCAACCCTAACTGGGATGAGATCAAGAATGAACTTTATCTAGGCCAGACACCACAGGACCGCCCAGATCTCATCACACGGGTCTTCAGAGCAAAGTTAGAGGCGATGAGGAAAATGTTGATGGAGAAAGACATACTTGGGAAGGTGAAGGCCTACGTATATGTAGTGGAGTTCCAGAAGAGGGGCTTGCCGCATGCACACTTCTTGCTGATAATGGAATGAAAGTACAAGCTCACATGTCCCGAGTAATATGACATGATTATCAGTGCAGAGCTACCAAACAAGAAGAAGTATCCTGAGCTCTACAAGATGGTGACGAAGCATATGATGCATGGTCCCTACGGGACGCTAAATCCATACTGTCCGTGCACAGTGGGCCACGGGTCATGCAAGAACTGTTACCCGCGCCCATTCTGTGAGGCAACGTCACAGGGAAAGGATTCGTACCCCATCTATCGGCGACGCAATGATGGCCGCACGCTAAAAGTTCAAGGCCATTACCTGGACAATCAATGGGTCGTGCCTTACAACCCTTGCCTGCTACGTACCTTCAACTACCATATCAATGTTTAGGCCTATGGGAGCATTAAATCAGTAAAGTATCTATTCAAATACATATACAAGGGACATGACAGAGCATCGGTGGTGATGAGGGAGACCGACAAAGCAAACGAGAAAGGGAACATTGATGAGATCAAGCAGTATAGAGATGCCCAGTGGGTGATGCCTCCATAAGCACTATGGAGGATATATGGCTTTGACTTGAGCAAGAACCATCCACCAGTATAGCAGCTGCAGCTTCATCTACCCGACATGCACATGGTGGCATTTCATAAACGGGATAAGGTCGAACGGATCGTTAATAGGCCAGGTGTAGAAGAGTCAATGCTGACAGCATACATCGATGCAAACAGGCATCATGAGGAAGCCCGCGGAATCTTGTATTGGGACTTCCCGGAGCATTTTACCTGGCAGTCTGATGGTAAATTCTGGCAGAAAAGGAAAAACTCTATTTTTCAAGTTGGAAGTCATCTCGGCTCATCCTGCTGAGGGAGAACGTTACTTTCTTCGTGTTCTCTTGAACAATGTTGCTGGTGCTACATCATACGAACATCTGAGGACGGTTGATGGCGTGCTACTACCTTCGTTCCGTGAAGCTACAGAAAGGAGGGGTCTAATCGAAGAAGACAATACACTGGATGAATGTCTAACTGAAGCTACTTTATTCCAGATGCCTTCCTCTCTGTGGAGGCTATTTGCAACAATATTGGTATTCTGCGAGCCGCATGATGTGATGGGGTTGTGGAAAAAACACTACGATGCAATGTCAGAGGACTACAGCCACAATCATCCATCCCTGGATCTGGTGCAACAAATTGTTTTGATAGACATTAGAAACATGATGCAGTCTATGGGGAAGGACATAAGGTCATTTCCTCTTCCAGATATTGATCACTCATACGACGATGCCAGCCATATTCCTCATGAGATATTTGAGGAAGCTAGCGTCGAGCAGAATCCCAAAGATGTGCTATTGTGTGACTCACTCAACGCCGAGCAAAGGTCTACCTATGATGAGATAATGGTCGCTGTCTGCAGCAAACAAGGCGGGTTGTTCTTTGTGGAAGGACCTGGCGGGACACGAAAGACATTTTTGTATAGGGCACTTCTCGCAAAACTACACAGCCAGGACAAGCTTACCGTGGCTACAGCTACATCTGGAGTCGCAGCAGCCATAATGCCAGGCGGGAGGACGACCCACTCGCGTTTCAAGATACCCCTCACTCTTCAAGAGGGCGGTTGTTGTAGCTTCACAAAACAGAGTGGTACTGCCAAGTTGCTGCAGCAAGCAGCTCTCATAATTTGGGACGAGGCATCTATGACAAAGAGGCAAAATGTGGAAGCACTAGACAACAGCCTACGGGATATAATGGGCGGTCAAACCTACTGTTTGGTGGAAAGACTGCTATCCTTGGTGGGGATTTCAGATAGGTCCTCCCTGTTGTGCAGAAAGGATCCAGAGCTCAAATAGTCGGTGCTTCTCTACGAAGGTCGTATCTTTGGGAATCCATGCGCCACCTAAAGCTTGTTCGCAACATGAGGGCTCAGAGTGACCCATGGTTTGCAAATTATCTATTGCGCATTGGTGGTGGAACGAAAGAGGTTAACGGAGATGGCAATGTACGTATTCCAGACAAGATACGTGTCCCGTACTCTAGAGATGCCGAGAAAGATCTTCATACATTGATCGACATCATCTTTCCAGATCTAAATGCAAACATGGCGGACAAAGACTACATCACCACCAGAGCGATTTTATCTACACATAACGATTGGGTGGACATGATCAATATAAAAATGATTGATATGTTTCAGGGCGGCGAGACGGTGTATCATAGTTTTGACTCCGTGGTAGATGATCCACATAACTACTATCCATCGGAGTTCCTTAACAGTTTGACCCCCAACGGGCTGCCTCCCCATGTCTTGAAGCTCAAGCTCGGGTGTTCTGTCATATTGCTTAGGAATATTGACCCTGCCAATGGGCTATACAACGGTATAAGGCTGGTGGTGCGGGGGTTCCGAAGAAATACAATCGACGTTGAAATCGTGGTGGGGCAGCATGCTGGGAAGCAGGTATTCTTTCCTCGAATACCGCTATGCCCGTCTGATGACGAGATGTTTCCGTTCCAGTTTAAGAGGAAGCAGTTTTCTATCAGGCTGAGCTTGATGCGGAGGCACAAGAGGAGGAGGCCAAAAAGATAGAGAAGAAAAATTCTAAAAAGAATGCCGAGGGGAAAAAATAAGAATGCGTCAAATAAAAAAGATAAGATAAGAAGACCCCAATAGCGGATGGAACTTTCACGAAGAATATTGTATTTAAGGAGGTTCTAACGCCATAGGCGAAGTAACAGAACATTAATAACGCATACAATGCATTTTTTCTATTCAATTTACATTGTATAAATAATATCTCACTAATAACATATTTGTTGTTGTTCCTAGGTCTTTTTAAATGGTTTATCAGACTCTACACGGAGATGTTGTATACACTTGTGTGATGGCATAATGAAAATTGAACATGTGTTATATTATTGTTATAAAAATAACACTTTCGGTGTTTTGTTCATAATATTTCGTTTTGTAACCATTCATAACTATTACACGTGTATGTTCTCAAAACCATGAGTTTTATCGACTTTCCTCACTTTTCTCATGTGCCAATGTGGGATCAACCGAATTCGCACCTACATAATTACAAACATAGATTACTTGAATAAAACCAACGAAGCAAGTTAGCGATAATAGTGAACAATAGTGCTAAACAACACCATACTAGTGGTCGTGGAATGACACGATTGTAGTGGCGTTGGTTCCGCGCATTCACGAGGATAGCTCCTTTGTATTTTTCATTATTGCACCAGGGTCATTAGTTTGTGAGCATGAAAGAAATGGATATCGGAGATTTCTTCCTGCCACTATAAAACATTATCTTAGCCGCATCACGGAAAGGTCTATAAAGTAGAGTTTGTGAGCCTGCGACGCCGCGCACTCCGTGACTGTTAAATTCATAAACTTTGCTTTTTGGATTAAATATCACTTTACCGCTGGTATTTAATTTTTACAGTATTGTTATCTTATCATGCGATCCGTGTGTTTTTAATACAAAATATTAGTTATCCCGTAGCAACGCACGGGCACGCTACCAAGTTAAACAAAAGACAAAATGAGAAGAGAACGAACTTAGGGAGCAGCACAAAATGCCTAAATCATACAACCAGGTGATCTATACCACAAAATATAATGCCCACTTGTCCACAATACATATATTGTGGCTTTCCTGTTCCACATTTCATACAATAATGATGGAAACGGAACATATAGATAAAGAGCCGAAAACACGCTCAGTTATGTTATATCCACTTGGCAAGTTCTTACTATTTATCTAGATTATGGTATTCTTCAACTGAGAAAACTAAAAGTTGGCAAAAATCTCAGCATGCACTGGCTGGATTCCAGCAGAATCACATTTGCTCAGAATTATCTGAACATTGGGTGAAGCTCTTTTGAAAGGCAGTTGTTTTGTCTCTACAAAAGAAGATAGATCCACAGGATCATTTCCAACCGTTGCCCTGTTCGTTTGGCTGATAAGCCATGGCTGAAAGTACTGTTGGCTGATTTGTTGTGAGAGAAAAATACTATTTGTTGGCTGAAAAAGTACGGCTTATAAGCCAAGCGAACAGGGCGACCCTCAACAAATAGCAGTTTATTTAGACCAGTGGCCTTCCTCAACAAAAAGCTTACTAGACGCAACTCAAAGTAGTGGCCCTTGAATTTCATCATCCTTACAAACATAAGGTTACCTAAGTCATACTCTGGTGCGTCTTCCTCAAAATACTCTTCCTCCGGCACATCTCCCAGAATATCTTCCTCATACACATCCTCATAAAAGGGTCTTTCCTTCAGCATATATTCTTGTACCAGTTTTTCCTGCAATAACTCATCCTCCGTCACATCTTCCTCCGAAAGCTCTTCCTCTGGTTCATCACTCTCTGTATCTTCTTCCTCCGAAACCTCTTTGTCCGGTTCATCATCCTCTGTAACATCTTCCTCAGAAAGCCTTTCCTCTGAATCATCATCCTCTGCCACGTCCAAGGAATTCCCTACAAATGTATCACCACTGCTTGATGGGAGCTGCAGGTAGATGTAGTGTTAGCATTCAGGAACACCAGAGAAATAAGAATGTGTATAAGTGAAATGCACCAGAACAATTTGACACCGACCTGCACAAAGAGCCTCTCCAGCTTTGGACACCAGCAGGTCTGGGGGAACATATAGATATGAGCGAGATTGGAGCTTTTCATTTCAAACATCAGCAGCTGCAGCTCCTTTAAGCTCGGCAATTAACTCAGCCTGGTCAAACAAGTAGCTGATCCGAAACGAGCCAACGCATAAATCCTCTGCAAGAATAGTTTACAAAGTTCTTTAGCAGACTAGAATAAACTAGATGAAATGAAAAACAATCTAGATGAACAGCATATAAGAACAAAACAAACTAGAGGCATCACAGTGGACCGACCCGGAGGGCAATGCTGCAGATGGTGAGGACCATGAGGTTGGCGAGGTTGGGAAGCGCTTGGATCCAGTGCTTGAGAGGATAGCTTATGCATGGCCCCCGTAGGCAGATGTAAGGAGCTTCCCGGAAGCGCTTGGTCGTCAGGCTGCGCGGTGGCCGCGATCTCGTAGATGGGGAGAAGGGCACTGCTGAGGCGGAAGGAGCGGAGGCCGGAGGCCATGCCGGCGTAGAGCTGGGTGACGCGGTTGCACTCGGCGACGGTGAGGCTCCTGAGGCGCCCCTGCGGCGACGTGGCGTAGATTTCATCCGAGGTATCGAGGAACTCGCAGTCGCGCAGGTCGAGGGTGCGGAGGCGAGGGCACGCTGGGAGAAGGTGGTTGATGTCCACCGAGTGGGCGGAGTGGATCTGGACGACCTCGAGGGTGGCGTAGGCGTCGGAGCGGAGGGAGTAGCCGAAGGTGACGTTGCCGACGCGGAGGAGGGAGAGGCGCGCGAGGCGGGGGCAGGCCGCCGGAAAACGGAGCATGGAGACCGTGCTCATGAAGTGGTCGGCGATGTCGAGGTGGAGGTCCTTGGCATCGCAGGCGGCGGTGTAGTCGAGGTAGCGGCGGATGTCCTCGTCGCCGAAGTAGCGGTGGGGGAGGCGGCGGCGGCGGTACTCGCCGAAGTGGAAGGTGAGGACGAAGCGGTCGAGGTGGCGGCGCCCGCGGCGGTGGAGCAAGCCGAGGAGCCGATCCGGGTCGTCGACCCCGGAGCGGAGGTGGAGGTCGAGCGAGGACGGCGCGGGCCAGCGGCGCGCCCAGAGCGCGCGCCACCTCGTGGAGAGCGCGCCCGTGCGGATGGCGGACTTGAGCGGGAGCAGGGACAGGATGCGCAGCTGCAGGTCCTCCGGCAGCGCCAGGATGGGGTCCCCCTCCTCGGCCGCCGCCGCCGCGGCTTCCTCAGTGACCCGCCGCTTCTTCGCGGCCGACGCGCCGAGCTGCGGCGCCATCACGGAGCTACTCGCCGCCCTACCCCGCCGTCGCCTGCTCGTCTCTCGTCCGCTAGTCTCTCGCCGCCCTCTCGCCGTACGCTGCTCGTCTCTCGCAGCCGGATTCCTCCCGCGCCGCCGCTCACCGGCTCCCCAACTCCTCGCTCACGAAACCGCCATGCTTCTGCAACGGGCTGGACCCACCGAGAGGTTCTCCTGGCCCATCGTACTATGCCCGGCCCAACGTAGAGTTAGAGGTATTCTTTTTTTTTTCTTTTGCCAATTTCTTGTAGTGCTTCAATTTTTCATGGCACTGACAAATCCTCCTGCACCTGCCAGTTTCTGTATACATCACCAGAATGTCAAATTTCAAACGGAATTTCTATCCATCATCCGAGTGATTGTTATTTATGTTTTCATTCACCCTTGCTGATACGCGCTCCAGACATATACACTCCGTGGTTTACAAAATTTCAAAGCCATCTTTGGGGGTTGAATCATGCAACATCTTTTGTCCGAGCAAATAAATAAATCACACATGATTCCAAGTTACTAGTACTTCGGCCCCTGTTTTTCTTGTAAGTCAGGTTTATTGCACTGGACGAACCGTAGGCGGTTCCAAAGTGCCCTGATGGAGTCCTAAGTCTGCGGTCAGGTCTGCTAATATCTTAACTAGATATAGCAACGGACATAAACCCACAGGGTTTTGTCATCCTAAACCCATATCCGTAAATAAAAAATTTGCCCATTAAAAAAACTATGACCCATTACCCAAATCTATGCCCGTTCGGGACACGGGTACCCAACTGGTTGCCCATGCCAACAAAAAAAACAATAAAATATGCTAGCTTTTGTCATCTTATATAAGAGTCTATCATTTGCCCTTACTGGCGAGGTGGGACTATTGCTTCTCCCTGAGTGAGCACAGGCACAGCTAGCACTAGCAGACAGGCAACGTCGCTGTTGCTGTAGCGAACAAGTGCCATGCCGCTATGCAAATTGGGCCGGCCCAAATTAGGTAGCTGTCTTGCTATTTCTAGTGTCAATATGTCATGCACTTGAATATGAGCGTCAGTTCTTTTTTCAAAAATCCTACTGGTGTAGTGTCGTTCTATACTTACATGGATATAATAATGTCCTACGGCAAAAGCTTCTCTTAATTTCAACTTGCACATCGAGCACCAGTCATCACCATACGACTAAAGCACTCAATTATATTATACTATGATATAAGAGATGATAAAACTCATGGGTTTACGGGTTTGGGTACTACAGACCCAGACCTAGACCCATGCCCACAAGCCCGCTGGGTCTGGCTTTTTGCCCATTAACAAACCTGTGGGTAGAAAAGTTGACTCGTACCCTTACCCTATAATAGGGTAAAAACCCAGCGGGTTTCGGGTACCCGTTACTTGTACTCCAACAGTCTGAGCTTATGCTTCTAGGACGCCTAATTGTGGACGCTTCAACTTCTTTATTTATGCCCTAAAGTTTGATGACTACACCGTAACATTGACATTGCTCTAGAAAAACCTTAATGTGTTATAACGCATGGTATGATGTTGCTGCAACCCACATTTCGAAAGAAAATTTCTCCAAACTCCAATGAATTTTGAACTCAGACGCAATTTATAGAGGAAGAAACAAAATGATAACTTTAACTAGGGGGTGAACTGATTCAGTTTAAATAGCCTGAGAGGTTAGATGAGATTTCCAATAGGGCTGCTAATTTTGAATCCAACTATGCTCTCTTTTAAAATATCTGACCAACAGAGACATGCCACTAAAATTTAATGACTGAACACTTTTTTTTTTTGAAACGGACATGACTGAACACTCAATTCTCAAGCTATATCAGTTTTAACTTATAGTCTCAGGTTTGACGATCACATCCAAAAAAATTGCAGCACGGTTAAGTATTACTAACCATAAACTGAGGCTATTCCTCATTTTACCTTTCCCATCAAAACAAGAATTTGAATTTAATATCCGCTGTTGACATCGATGGCACGCCACGCGTGAGCCATGAACGGTGTTGAAAAATGCATGAACGATCATCTGACTCAATCAAATCAAGCACACCAATCGAATCAAGCAAGCCGGTTGACAACTAGGCCTTTGTGAGAAAATTGCAAAATACCTCAGCGCGATTTTATATGAAATATATCATCGAAGTTTTCTGGGCTATTTGTTTAGGCAACTTATGTGTAATCGTATGTTCAACATCCTTAGGGCTTCGCTTTGAGAAACCGAGCAGAGTAAGCGGAGTAGGAATGCATGGAACCATGAAAACAAGGTTTGGATGGAATTTTATATGTTTTTTATAGGGAATTTATATGTTGTTGGTAATATAAAGCGTTAAAAATTGTAAGTCGAAACCCAAACGTGGTGGTCAAGGTAAACCAGCATGAATCTAAGGTCCAAATTAGTAATCTGGCCCGGTCTAGCCAATGAGGCCCAATTCCATGTTTGGCAAGCTAACTATATATATTTCCATCTGTAATTGCCAGTGATATTCGCCAATAACCATTTCCACTTTGCTTCATATGCAAAGTGTTTGACATGCGCACACACGGTTTACTGATTCACATATGAAGAAGTACAAGTTTTACCTTCACTTCTCTCAAGGGAAACTGCTCACCAGCTTCCGCATTCTTCATTAGAAAATGTAGTTTAAAATTTAGTACATCTTACCTTACGCTATTCCCTCTCTCAAAAAATATAAGGCATTGAAACATTCGAGAAATATCCTAATATAATACATTCTAGGTAAATTAACTTCTGCAAAGCACCAATCACCTGTGTACCGGTCATTAGCTCAAAATATAGTAACCGCAAGCTCTTTGTATAATTAAGGGAGGCCTAAGTACTTACGTACATCATTTGTTTTACTTCATAATTAATCTTAAAGTTTCGAGAATGCCTTATATTTCAGGATAGAGAGTATTACTAATTTAAGGCTCCAACTAAGTCTTTGCATTAATTCTCATGAACTGCGTTAGAAAAAAATCCTAAAAATACTCAAAAGTCACATCCAATCCTATATCATCATTATCCATGTTTCACCCTCCCCGATCTTAACCATACCCATTAGACAATAATCATCAGGTCTTGTTTGATGTCCATGTATTTACTTCAATATACATGTGTTGAAGTGAATTGAAGTGAAAATTAAACTAAATTCTAGTTCAACACATATAGATTGAGGTGAATACATGTATATTCAATAAACAAAGCTTCAACCAATCTTATTCATACCCATTGCTTTGAGTTGAACTATCAGTTTCTATTACTATTGTACACATATATGTGTTATACATACATGTGGGCTCCATGTCAAAGTTGAACCCCTAGAATGAAAACCTCGCATTCGTAACTTAAAGTTTTAGTGAAATTAACTGAAACTTGCTAAAAAAAATTAAACCCTACATTCACACCTTAAATTCTAAAACTCACATTAATTTTTTTTTCTCAACCATGTCCTTGGACACGTATTTCATTAAGAAGAAATAAAGGTTTTAGTACAGGTTGAGCCTAGGTAATCCAAGGATTACAACAAGACGCAAAAAAAGCAAGAAAGGCAAGGAGGGGAGCCCTAGGCCACAACACCCAATAGCAGACTAAACCTAAGAAAAACAAATACATCAGCGCAATGTTTCCTACAGAGAAGCCAACCCGTGGTGGCAAAGTATCTTCCCAAGGAGGCGACATGGTCATCCACAACACCAGTAGCAAAAGTATCCACGGGAGGGGATTGGAGCCCCGCACAACCCGTGGCGGCAAAGCATCCGCCATAGGGACACGATCTTGGCGGCAAAGTATCCGCCGAGACCAAAGCGACGTTGGTAGCACATTATCTGCCAAGGAAGAGAGACCAATGATGGCCAAGTATCCATCGGAAGAGACAGGGTAGCGGCAAAGCATCCACCACAAAAGCTGAACGACGGTGGCAAAGCATCCCCACGACGATCCAAACGACGATATGGTAGGACGAACCGTTGTGAAGACATACAATAAGCGCGCGCAGGCACAACAGGGAGCTACAACGTGGACCAGCGACGCGGCAAGGAACGTACAGCGACAGGAGAAGAGGCATGAAGAGGACGCCACCAAGGAGGTAGCGGCGTCCGCAAACATCGCCGTTCAGGCCTTAGTCCTAACCTCGAACAACCAGTCCGTCGTGGCCCACCAGGACCCCCCTGCAGAGGATGCCTATCCCAAAGGAAGGCGCTGGCGACGAAACGCAGGCGTCCCCACCGCCACTAACGCCACCACGCGCACAGCAGGCGTCCTGCCGCACACGAGCAGTCTCGAGAAGACGTGACCTGCAGGCCAGCAGCCACCCAGAGGAGCAGCAGCAAGAAGGCACGGCCACCGACCCCGGGGAAGGCCAGCACGCCGCAAACTGCCACCGCTCTTGCAATACCTTAAAGAGTAGTATTGGTGAACCCCAACATCATCTTATTGGAGAAGTTGCATTGTAAGCTACTGGAGATGCTCTAAATAATAAGTTAGACACCGGACCATGATCACAGGTGAGGGATTGATAATATACTACTAGTTGTGAGAAGGATGACTCTTGAGAACGATTTCCTGTGAAGGGGGGGAAGTTCAGTGTCTGAATTTGTATTTTGAAAATTTGAAAACAAACACACAGCTTACTTGAACTAAATTTAGACAAGCAAGTTCCATCTCGAAACTATGCATAACTAGCACATATGTGCATCTTCAGAAACAGTTTGCGGTCGTCTTCATCACCCTGCTATTGCAGATTTCGATCATGAACTGCTGTCTCATAAACAGACGGGCCCGCCTTCTCCATGTCACAACTTGATAGCTTGGCATGTGCATGGATCAGAGGTCTTGAACCAGACCAACCATGCCTTTGTGATGTCAAGATCGAAGTGCCCAGTCTTTTTGGGTTCCGTGTCTCAGCATCCTGCAAAGGAGCACAGCACAAGGGCCATGCAGGAACAGCTGCTTGTGTGGGCAGTCTCTTTCCTTACCAAAGCGGTCGAATG